AGATACCGAATTTACATGTATATACATGTGAGACGTTTCGGAAGACATCCCGTTTGTTTACTTATTAGTGGGTCATAAACGTTTAAGATCAGTAAAATATCCAAATATGAAACGGATTATAAAGATAAACATAGCAGCCTTAGTCAATGGCAACTATAATGTTTCTATTGTGCGATTTTTATTGTATGCTGAAAACACAATAGGTGGAATATGAAAATAACGAACAGCAACAAACTCAAAATCCGCTGCAACAATATAAATTGGGAGCAGAGCAAACACGGACCTCTAAAAACATCAGAGGGAGGATCAGGTGCCATGGAGGAGTTAGCATCCCCTGTCGACCGGTCACACAGTCGTCATGATCGACCAACAGAAAAATCTGTTTTGGCATCGTTAGCCAAAAACCTTGTCTTTATCACGTATTGATTTATTGAATTAATGCTGATTTTTTTTTAATTTTGTGTTTGTGGTATTTTATAGATATATACCATTTTATTACAATTCATATCGGAAAGATCACGAATATTAACGCTTAGCGTATAACCAGTGCCACAGATGTTGGAGGATCCTGATTCTTATGAACCAGAATTTATTCAAAACCGTTTATAAGAATAGAGGAGAACTATAGATGTAACACTACTATATGCTATTTTAATCTATAGAGTTACCAATTTAATGATGGAAAGAAAATGGGAATAAATCTCAATCATAGCAAAATTTTCTTTGATATTTCAGCTAATTTTGTCTTATTCTTTATCTAACGTTCTCCACAATTTGCTACACTCAAGAGTAATGAAATTGTTCTTTTGTGAAATATCATGCACATCAATGATCAAAATGATATTCTTTTTCAGAATACGACACTCCTTATGAAAGGTTTTTGCTTCATGCATCTTCATGCGTTGAAACATTAGAACATTTTTTCGGTTAACAAAAACATGGAGCGAGGACCGAAATAACTTTAAAATACATACTTTAATGACAAAGAAAATCGTATCTTTTCGAGAAATATTTGAAGTTTCAGTTTTTCAAAGGTCATATCACAAATAAGATGCCACTATACCTGTTTGATTTATGTGATCTAGAACAAACTGATGCTTAAGGATTTTTATACTGCGGGGTTCAATCCCCAAGAAACTGCATTTTTTTTTTGACATAAAATTTGCCGGGGAAATTTTCCCTGAGAATGTTTTGTTATAACTTCATGCCTTTTAATAATAAGAACTTTGTTCAAATATTTTTTTCTTGAAAAGACAATGGTGAAGATAACGAACAGTGATTGATCTCATAAAACCTACAAAAATACAAATCTGTGATTGGCTTAAAACACAGTCCCTGGAAATGCCAAAGGTGGGATATGGTGCCTATAGGAGGAGTGAACTATAGGAAATTCCCCAATGTTCGTCATGTGATCTGTTAAATCTGTTCACTATTATCCAAGATGTTTAAGCATCATTGATGTGTTGATATCCAACATAAATTCGGCACAGTCACTCACATAAAATTCAGTAGACATTATCAAATTTAGTGAACAAAAATTGCATGCTCATTTAATTCATACTAAACTTTTAATTAAACTTAGTTCTGCATGTATTGTAATATTTTTATTTGAAAAATAAGGTTTGAAACAAGTGTAATTTTTATATCTCGTTCTTGTGGGATAAGCGTTATGGTCAAAGACTTATACGAATATAAACGACAACGCCACAATTCTGCAGCTAGATCCAGAATGCGGTTACACAAGGAGTCCATATAATATGTTTATGCATTAGTGTATGGCATGTCAAACGTTGCAATATTCGATCTTTTTATAATTTTCCATTTGTATTGTATAATATTTATTTGTATTCTATAATTTTCCATTTGTATTCTATAATTTTTCATTTGTATTGTATAAATTTTCATTTGTATTGTATAATTCTTATCTGTATTCTATAAATTTCCATTTGTATTGTATAATTTTACAATACAAATGGAAACGTATACAATACAAAAGGAAAATTATACGATACAGATGGAAAAGATCGAATATTGCAACGTTTGACATGCCATATTAGTGTACATCCCGTTCGTGGTATTCCCATTAAGTATAGAGCCAACATTTTTCATTCATTCGAGAATACAATATAGGTCTTGAAGCTTATTAAGTTATTCTATGTTTTATGTATTTGTTTAACAGAACTATAGGGTTTATATTTTCTCTTTTTAATGCCGAGTTATACTTGTATACTAGTATATTAGTACATTGATTGTAAACTCATACTGAATTTATGTATTGCTTAGAGATTTACATCATGTTGTCATATTTTGTCCAATGTTGTCAAACATGCAAAATTCAGAAATCACGCACTCAGTTCAATTGATTCTGATCTATTTTTACAATAAAAACAAGTATCCAAAAATTAGAAATTAACTTACCGTAACCTTGTAAAGATACCTTTCTTTTTCTCTAACCGATCGTCAAAATCTGAATATCTGTCTTTCATATTCTCGCTATATATGTGATAATTACATCTTTTTAATTAGGGGCGCCTTTTGGTCTTGGATAGAGGCGCTGCTCGTTCCTTGATGTTTACATATTTAATTAGAAAGATAATTATGAGCTTTATCTATTATTAAATAATGAAAAACAAATCAATTATCTTAAAAAATGAAGGTTAAATATATGAAATGATGAAATACAGAACGACAAGAGAAACATATTAAACAATTATCTCTTTCCCTATTTGATTATATAATAATAATAGAAATAAAATCAGAATTTTTAAATATGTTAAAACAATTTCCTACATTTTTTCAGAAGTTTTCAAGAGCATTTTGTATAGCGTACTTCTTTTTCTGTTTATAAATGAATCAGTTTAAATCTCTTCATATTTTTTTTTTTTTTTTTTTTTTTGCGTTATTTAAACTGAGTGTTTTCTTTTTTCATTTGTTTTTTTTTTTAATTTTGTTTTTGGTTTTGTTTTGTTTTTAAATCTTAAAATAATTTATCAATAATTTATTAATTAGTATAATTCTTCTCCATATGATAATTTAAAAAAAAAACTTTTTAAAGGTATTTTTAGTGAGAGGTTGGACCTCTATACATGTATTTGAGACGGTTAAGAAGAATCTACTTGGCTTTATACTGTGTCTTATTTAGTCAAATATCTGGATTTCAAAACTGCGTTCGCATGGATAAAGTGAAATGGCAAGCTTTTAATTATGTATGTGAATGACCTGGAAAACCTTTTCATGAGTGAAAATCCGCCATCAGTGGAACTGCGAGAACTTAATTTATTCATTTTAATGTTTGCAGATGATACGGTTATATTTGCAAATTCACCCGAGGAGTTGCAAACAATGCTCGATTCCTTGTATCGTTATGTTTCTACATGGGACCTTTCCGTAAATGCATCAAAAACAAAGATAATGGTATTCCGAAACAGTGGAACAGTAAATTCTTCATGGACATATAATGGGAAAATCCTTGAGTGTGTCGATTCTTTCAATTATTTAGGACTTACACTGTTTTATAATGGCAAATTTAGTTCTACACAAAAAAGCTGGCAGATCAGGGGCGAAAAGCACTTTTTGGACTAAATCGAAATATCCAAATGTTTGAATTTAATGCAGAAACGCATTGTCAATTGTTTGATACATATATATTAAGTGTTTTAAATTATGGGTGTGAAATTTGGGGCTTCCACAAATCACCTGTTCTTAGGGGGACGGGGGTGGGGGGGGGGGGTGTTGCAGGTAAAAGCTTACAAAGATGAGTTGTTGAATGAAGTAAAACTAATTTAATTATAAATTCAATACTTTCCTATTATAAATTTTAAAATTCTTGTTATTTGTCCCCCTCCCCAAAAAAGAATTCATACAATATGGTGAAGGAAAATATTCTGCTGGTTTTGAATCCTGTATCTACATCATCTTAACCATTCCTGTATTCTACAACCCTCTCCCCCTCCATTTTCTCTTCACTCTTAACAGTCACCTTCCTTTTCATGCATTACACTATAAATTTATTTATGTACATTTATTTGATCATCACGTGTATTTATTGTTCATTTTCTTTGTATTGGAGAGGATAACATCTGAGGCTGAAAAAATTGTGTCCGATCCAATTATTGATTATATATCAATATAATATATAATATAAATAAAACCTTTGTAGAGCGCCCTAAATAATAAAAATTACTCTAAGGCGCTTAACAATAAGATTATAGTAAAATAAATGTACAAAGTAGTAATTAAAGCTTAAAAAATAAGAAAATGAAAGATGCAAGTATGAGAAACATACAAGAAAAAGAAAAGTTAAATAAAAATAGTCAAATCAGATATTTACATCACTAGAAAATTTCTCAAAAAAAAAAAAAAAAAAAAAAAAAAAAAAAGAAAGAAAAAAAAAGCATTTAAGACTTTTTTTAAAATAAAAATCATAGGGGTTTAAAACTCAGGTAAAGCAGTCTTTATAAAATGTGTTTTTTAGCAATTTTTTCTTTTTAAAGAAATCCACACTTTGAATCAATTTTATGTGTGTTGGAAATTCATTCCACAAACTGGCGGCAGACCAACTAAAAGTCCGTTCTCCAAAAGTCTTAGTTCGAACTTTGGCACTACAAGGCTCATGATGTTTCCGATCTTAGTGATCGAGCTGGCTTATAAACTTCAATAAGTTCTTGTAGATATGAAGGAGCACATTCAAACAGGGTGCAGTAGGTAAGCACCAGTATCTTAAATTGTTTAAATTAAATCTGTACAGAAATGAAAGATAAAAATAACAGAGTAATAAAAAAAATATGAATTTGTACGAATTAATTTGTTTCATTTTTGTACAAAAATAAAATATTATTTGATTGACCGGCTGATTGATTGATTGATTGTTTGTTTTACTTAATAAATGAAGGCTGATTAGTTGTGTCGTATGATCGAATATCTTCGGATCGACATGATCTTAAGGTCCCTTCCACAGGTGGCGCTTTCCAGACGTTGCTATCTGTAAACAACATGGACGCGGACGACTGGCGCGGACACTTGCTCTTTCTAAACCTTTTCTTCTAGATACTTCTGCTTTAAAAATTAGTTTCACCATGTGAATTATTGCAATGGGTTAATGTTAAAGGTAATTTGAAGAATGTCAGATACTGTACTAATACAAACAAGAATGCACAGATTTTATATTACAAATAAACTCGAATTTTCTCCATAATCTCGAAAATAAACAGCATTAGTTGTTATTCAGTTCCTAAATATGATACCCGAAAAAATGTTTAAGAAATAAGTGTAAGTGAGACTTACTCATTTAACTTTTTATAGAAATAAGTATCCAGGACATGGTCATAAATTATTTTTATTTTGTAGAAATACCAGTACTTTACTTTTGGTACAATCTATTCATACAACGATGAAGTATTTATGCAGTATTTCTCTTATCCTTTTCATTAACTTATGTTTTCAATATAAGTATAATTTTTTGAGATTCATTATTTGATTATGGTTCCCCCAGAAACAAAATGCCTGGAATAACGGACAGAGTTCACTTTGAGGATGAAGTGATTTTGAGAAATATAAGGCTTGATCAAATTGGAGAAGAAAGGAGTCAAACATACAATCAAGGAATAGATGACATCCTTAACCCTAATGCAACGTACCTCACAGAACTACTCGGACCAGATGAACTTGGGGAGGACTTTGGTTTTGAGCCAGAGGATGCCCATTACGTTGCTCCGAGCGAATCCGAGGAGGATTATGTGGAGGGTCTTGATGACCCCATGTTGGACAAAATTAAAGGGGAAATTGCAAAAAATCTGAGGAGGGAGGAATCAGAGACGTCAGAATCTTCCTCAAGGACTGAAGATGACACAGAACAAGAAGAACTTAATATTCATTATTCAGAGCATTTCACTTCAGTTCCTTATGGAGTCTTGCCAAAAGCTACCTACACACATGGCCGCAAAAATGCTGACATTATGGGGAGTAAGTATAAATATCAGTATCAGGCAAACTAATTTTGTAGCCAAATCACTGTCATTTTTACAGAAAAAAGTAATCATGATAATTGTGAATATTTGAGGAATACAACTATTTTGAATCAGTATGAAAAATGTAGTTCTAAACATCATAGCAATTATTTATTTTACTTTATTTTACAAGTGCAATTGTCTGCAATATTTTAAATTTCCAATGTGATGACAGCACAACATCTAAGAGTTAAAATATGCAGTCTAAAATTGACAATACACTGTACATTAGTTTAATGTTGTTATAATTTTATTTTAGTTGTGTACAATGGTAGGATGAGGCAGTTTGTGATTTTGGACGGGAAAGGAATCACCACATGGAAAAGAGACCCTGGACTGAACGGAGAAAGTCGCAGTAAGTTATTCATCAGCTAGAGTGTAGTCTCCTTTTATTATCTTCCATTTAATAATACATGTACTATAATGTTGTTAATGAACAGTTAAATTAAATTTTTGATGCATAACTGACAATGTTTTATAAACTTATAATGAATTAATATCAAGAAGGTGCTTGAAGTATATGAACTGAACACCTATATATGCATTTGCATATAAATCAGTGCTATTGCCTGATGAAATATTTTTTTGTTAATTGACAGTTCAAAGGGCATTGATGTATCCCAAGTATGAATACAGACTGATTTCCTATCTGGTGTATGCCAAAAAATTTAACTGCTACTTTGCTCTTGGGAAAGATTTCTCACTAAAGGTTTGTGTTAACAAATGAGGCAAATAATCTCAAAGTTATATATCTGGGCATAGTGTGTATGAAATTAGGGGACTGAAAAGCCAAGTGATTTGAGTGAGTGATTTGGCCCATTAATCTGAAAGATATGATTTAAATGTATTCACAGTTGAACAATAAATTTCATATGAAAATGATAGCAGCAGACATTAAAGAGACAAACTGATATTTGCTGGACTTCATAAGGAAAAAAAAAATCAGGGCCATGGTCTTACTTCAAGATATAAAGAGTCGCAAAATTTGGAACCAAGAGTCAATTTATTTATAGGATATATTTATCGTCAGCGTGGAACCAATTATATCAGATAAATTTTATTAGTATACCTGTATTTGAATTTTTGAATCTCACTTCATGCTCTATAACTACATCTTCATCTATAACTGTGTATCCGTAGGTTTTGAATCGTGACTTCATTGAGACCTGTTCAGTTAGTGCTAATCTACGATCTGTCCTGTTCATGTTGTTCAATCCTGTCGGGGATGAGCTAATTACTGGAGGGGTTGGAGGAACAACGGTAGGCCTTGTATCTGGTTCTTTAAATTCTTTTAGACCCAGGCCTTTATTTTAATTTTAAAATTTTGAAACATCAACACCGAAATAATATCCACATATAGCTACATTTTCTATGTTAAATGTTTCTTTCTCTCAAAATGTGTCTAGTTTTCTATGCTACTTCTTTATACTGTTAATTATACAGATATGGAAGTTTGAACAGGACGCTACCAAACAATTAACAGAAATCAAACCTCTCGCCAACTACAGACTCAGAAGAGTGTATGTATTCACTTTTTTCATTTTTTTTATCAGTATTTTCAGAATAATATCCTAGTGAAACAAATTTATTCATTAATTTTAAAGTATTCTATAATGATTTTAGATCCAAACAGTCATAAAGTCTGTATTTATCTTCAGTAATACTTTTATATAAATATTTATTCTTCACACATTTCTATCAAAACAATATGTTAATGCAGTTTTTATTTTTACTTCCTGATTTCAGGAGGGACCTGAAGGATGTAGGGGGGAGCTGGGTGAAGCGGGTGGATCTAGATTTTACTCTACAACACCTCTACTGCTGCTCAGACACAGACCTGTATGCTTATGATCTCAAAGGGCAGCTTCTCTTTAAATTCCTCAAGTAAGCAGGGCTCGACATTAACTTTTTTTCTTACTTGTCCATTCGGACAAGTGACCAAGACATTTACTTGTCCGAACTTCAACTTCACTTGTCCGAAATTTTTTCAATAAAGATCTAATACTGTCAACTTGAAAACTAAAATAAAGTCCATTACACAAGTCATGTCCTTGATTGATTCGTGATGTCATTGATATTTACAACAAACACATAAAACGAAATTTTATCTAGGGTTTCTGTCCTGACAACATAAATGTCCACAAGTGAACCAAACTTCATTAAGTTCCTTTCAGTAGTATGCAATTAGTGAACTTCGATCCCGAATCAATGTGAACTCAATTAGTAGCGATCCCTATCGGGATCGAAGTCCGGTTTTTATGTACAGCTTCCGTCTTGAAACTACCGATTATCTTTCACAGTCGTTCTTATTATTATTTAGAGACTCCTTTACATTAAAATGCACTTGTCCAATCGGACAAGTGCCCAGCAATATTCACTTGTCCGTAATTTTTTTTCACTGGTACCGGGCAAGCGGACAAGCATTAATGTCGAGCCCTGGTAAGTTTACAAAATATAGTGGAAAATTGTCATTACATGGAATCATGAGATAACATTGACTTTTTTAACACTTGAGTTATTAAATTAGGAATCAAAATATTTTATCTTGAATATTTATGATAAAATTTGTGATGAATGAGCAAAGAATAATTTTAACACTTAAAATAATTTAAATTTTGGAATCATTTGTCAAAATTTGATATGCAGATTCATCAATAATAATGTTCATATTGATGAAATATTTAGAAACCTTTAAAATCAATATCTGACGTATGGGTGTGTATTTACAGAGCTCACAGTATGTCCATCACTGGTTGTATCTACTCACAGTTCTCCAAAACACTTCTGACGTGTTCTATTGATACAGAGGGTAAGTTTACACAGTATCCCATCATAAGGGTCAGGATTGTTAATTAAAACAGGATAATTAGATTAATTTCATGGAATCTGATTGCTGTAATTTTAGTGAAGATGTGGAGCCTGAGAGGTGGACTGGTTCACACTTTCCGTGGTCACTCGAGGGCTGTCACCAGTTTAGTGGTACACCCGGTCAAGCCGTCAATCATAGTGACCGCTTCACTGGACGGGTCAGTCAGAATGTGGTCACTCAACACAATGGAAATATTATACAGGTAAGAAGATGTATCATTTAACTCTCATTTTAGTCTCTTAGTATTTGTTAGATAATTTTGTTGACAGTTTAGTGCAGAAATGAAATGTTGCCCGTATTTCCTTTGTAGAAAAAGGATACATTTATTATACATTATTTGTTTATAAAAATACTTTTATTCTAGATTAATTTGAATATATTCTCTTGTTTTTGATACATTAATTGTTATCATTTTCCAGTGTTGTGATCTCCACTGATGGCCTGCTGTGGATGGGAATGACAGACGACTGTCTAATGTACTGTGCCACAGTCAGGAACATCACCCTCTGGAATCTCAATCAGTTCTATGATTTCTTCGCTGTAGCTAGAAGCCGAATTTGCCGCCTTTCTCTTGCCACTTGTGAAAACAAAACTACCCGTGTTGTTGCAGAGGGACAGGACAGCAGGTACAGGTCTTTGATTGAATTCAATCCATTTCCTGACAACACTCTTTAAGACCTCACAGTTACAAAAATTAAGCAGGCAATTTGTGTTAGCATCTCTCTGGAATAAAAGGATTGAAAAAGATTCTAATGTTTGAATTTCAGCATGCGCCTGTTTTCCCGTAAGAGTCAGAAGAACATGACGACTGTGTTACCTCCCCCTGATATTTCTCCCCTCCAGAGGGTGATGAGTGTCTGCTATAGTAGGGAGTACAATATGGTGTTTGTACTCATTACTACCATGGAGATCTGGGTTTATACCACCAAGTAAGAATACATTTGGACAGTAAAACATGCTTATAATGAAGGGCCAGGGACAGATGATTTTTCTTTGTTATAAACGTAATTTGTTATTTCCATAAAGTGTACAACACAGTTTCAAGCCATAGGGAAAGAAAATCACTCTCTATAAGCATCAATTCATAATAAGTGTGTTCGCTATAACCCTGTTTTACTGTAATGGGTTTCTCATTTGAACTTCTTTCAAAATTTGGAAAGTTCTTGAAGTTCAGTAAAGGCATCAGGTTGTGAGAATTTCAGGGGTCAAATTGAAAATGCATCTAAGCTATCTCTTGACAAGTTATGGAATGTAAGTATGCTGTTGCATTTAAGAATAGATGTGTACCATGTCCCGAGAAACTTGTAGTTTAATTATCTTATTTTTTTTTGCAGATTTGATTAATCATTTTTATTTGAATACCCAGTACATGTAAATAGATTTTTTGTAAATGGACTTAAAATATCTTGTTACATGGAGGGGAAAGAGTATATTCATAAGAATTACAAGGTGAAGGTATTTCTTTCAGAACAGACCCCAGTTGCCGAGTGATGACATGGAATGTCCATGATTTGCAGATGCCTTATCTCTCCAATAAAGGCAAGAAGGATTCAGATAATCCATTAGGAGGCTGGTAAGTCACCTACACAGCTAAGGCAAGAAGGATTCAGATAATCCTCTAGGAGGTTGGTAAGTCATCTACACAGCTAAGGCAAGAAGGATTCAGATAATTCTTCAGGAGACTGGTAAGTCACATGTATAGTTAAGGCAAGAAGGATTCAGATAATCCTTTGGGAGGCTGGTAAGTCACCTACCCAGCTAAGGCAAGAAGGATTTAGATAATCCTTTGGGAGGCTGGTATAAGTCACAGCCATGGTTCAAGGAGAATGTAGTTGGTCCCTTAAATTAAATATTTCAATAGGTGCAATAATGACAGGGACATATACCATAAAGAAAGGGGCATGTGGACATAAAATGTATAAATTAAACAAGCAGTTTAATCTTTACTTTTATCAAATTATATTTGTAGAATAGAGACCAAAATTTACAAAAAATTGGCATTTATCTTATTAAAGACACTCAAAAACATTAACTTTACAGGTCCTCCTCCTTACAAGGTGGCCCCTCCCACCGTGCCACAGAGAACGGCCTGGGTAACGAGACCCTGTCCACCTGTCACTCCCTGTGTATTCTGACTTCCACAGCCACCATGTGGACAGAGGAGGGGTTCTGTTGCCCCATACAAAACATGGATCTGGAGGAAACTTATCTACTGATGGGATTGGAGGTGTCTCTACTTTTCTGTTCTATTTATTAAATACAAGTCTTTAAGGAATATTTCTAATCATTTGCTGAGATTTAAGGCAGGTGCAATCTTTTTAAAATGTATTCTGTTATAAATTTTTTCTATGACTAAAGATTTTTAAAAAGTGGCTTGTTCACTATTACATATCAGTAAAATATAATTTCATATGCATTAATGATAAATTAGCAAGTGATGCACATTTGAGGGTTTTAGCTCCCAGAGAACTTCAGAAGGGATTCTTTCAGAATAAAAAATTGCATGATTGTATAAATCCTGTATATATATCTTTAGGATGGGAGAATTTTGTTCATGGATCCAGTCACCAAAGGGAAGAAATACATGGAATTCAAAGCTTCAAAGGATGCTGTAAGTGACAATTAATTCATACAATCTTTAGTCAAACAGTTTTTAAAATGTGAAATGTTGCTTCAGTTCGGATGACTGCAAGCTGGGATCTATCTGATATTACAGATACAGGAAATGAGACATGACATATCCCACAATGCACTAGTCACTCTATGTCACCTTAAGGAACTTGCCATGATACAGATCTGGAGCTTGCCCAAGCTTGAGCTGAAACATGAGCTGTACTGCTCACTGGATATTATTTGTTATGCCAGATTGGTATGTCCAAAAATGCTTTGCTTTTACATGACCTTTTACACTTGTAACTGTACAGATAACAGTATTGAAATGCCCCCCCCCCCCCCCCCCCCCAACCAACCAACCAACACACATACATAAAGAAAGAAAAAAAAACAGAAAATAGATGTAAAGAAAATCACCCATACATTTCAAAATTATACTCTTCACAAAATGTAATTTATTTCTCACTAGGTGGAAAGTTGTTGGCCGTGTTACTTTAAGTAAAATGCAGACAGACAATTTCACAGTATCCATCCAATCCATTTTCTACCTTATTGTAATTCTTCCTCTGATACATTTACCCAGATTTTAATTATTTCCATTGAGAATGAGGGTGAACAGAACCAAAAAATGTATGTAGAATAGAATATGGATGAGTGTTTTCCATTGTACAGTGGAATGGTTGTATGTTTTGATTTTCAGGGTGAGGGGTTTATGACGGGGCACCAGAATGGCTGTGTGAACTTCTACACACTGGAACCAGCCGAGGACTGGGGATTGTTCAGAGCTAAAAGTTTGTATTCTATTTACATACAAGTCATGGATTATTTAAATCTGAAGAATACACAATAACATATGCATATCTAAAGCCTTGCTAAAAAGCCCTGTATTTTGAAATTTTAAGACTTCTGTCTATAAATATTATTGTTGAACTGTACTAAGGTTCAGATATGTCTATTATACAACTTTAGAGGTACATTTATATTAAAGTGTTTGATACTCCCTTTGTTTTGATTCACAGTTGAACCAAACAAAGACAGCGTTGTCAAGAAGAAGAGACCGGAACACCACGCAGAAGTGGTGGCTATTGACTCATCAGCTTCCATGAGAATTTTCTGTTCTGCCAGGTACTTACTCTTATCCAAACATTTTACTGATGTCTGAGAAGACTAAATCTTGAAACAGAACCAAGAAACTGTCAAAATGTACACCCTTTCAGATTATTACATATGTCATGTTTAATGATAGAAAAGAAATTATTTCAAGCAAAATGTTTACATATATTTTTAATTTTTCATAGTAGATCTGTCACACATTTAGGTTAGAATTGTCCAGCTCAGTTTTGACTATTTCAACATTTTTTACATGTAGAAATAACTTAACTAAATATTAAAATGTTATAGTTTGAATGGAGTTATCAGAATCTGGGATGAGAACAAGCACCTGCTGACAGAAATCTTCATGGACAAACTAGAAATTGATGAGAATATCATACAGGAGGAACCAGGAAGGAAGAAAATCAAGGTGGATGAACAAGGAAGGAAGGAGAAGGTGGAAGATGAGGAGGAGGAAGGAAGTAGTTCTTCCCTCCTGGAGAGATCCTTGTCAGCTGCCTGTTTCCTTAACAACAAAGGGGATCTAATTATTGGATACAAAAACCATATCTTCAGTATAGACCATACAAAAGGTGCCATTTTTATGCAATTTTATCCTATTTTAGACAGCTAATTTTTGTCACTTTATTTCAAGTCTATGTTTCCATAATAGTGTTAGTAGCTTTGAAATTGTATTTCTATCATTATTTATTTTCGTACATTAGAAATGCTGATGAGGGAAGTTTGATTGTGTTACCAGTATTGTCCTATTTTCCTTTTTTTTTTTTGATTTTGGAATTCTGTATTTCAGTTTGTCCACATTTATCCATCACTGAAGAGGAAGAAGAAACAGATAAAGGTCTGATGAGAGACATTTTCAAATATTTCATGAACTAATAACAAATGATTTATCAAAAATATGATATACATGTACATCAGAATACTCACTATTGTACTTTTTATTTTTATCACATTCTACAGAATCGGCCATTATTGAGGATCCCTCAGTGATTTATGAAGGTGGAGTTTATCTTCCTGAACCTGTGACACTGGAAAATTACTTGGTATCAATCTTGATTTATTCTAAATATTGTCATTTCAAACTTAAAGTAAAAAAAAAAACATTAGGATCATAAGAGTGTATACATTCCTTCTTTGACACTTCAGGTGCCCTTTGACTTTATTGATTTTTCCAAAGATTTTCTGGAAGGAAAAATGGATCATGAGGAATCTTCTGAAAGTGACGAGGTAAAAGCACAAGTTACGTAACGATGTTCTTGGCAGTTATGAATGACAGCTGAAGGTAGCATACAAGCAAGCAGAGGGTCTAGCCAAACTTGCCCTCTTGCAGCAAACATGTTATATAGGGGAGAGGGCAGAGTAAACATGCTATAAAGGGGAGGGGGCAGAGTATTTTTGTCTCATCTAGGACAAAGAGCATTAAATTTTTTCAATTTGGACTCTAAAATCCAATACAATTTAGAGTATTTATTGCCTTTCTTCAATTAATGAAAGTTACTGTATCAGATGTAGGATAAAAAGTACTTTATCAAATGTGAAGGGTTTTTGTATTACGGTAAGCATGTGGGTTCTCAAATTCTTGGTTTCCTTATACAGTTATGTCTTAATTGTAACAGGAAAGTGGTTCAGAGTCTTCCCTTTCTTTGGCCCCAACTGAAATTTACCAGTCCCCCCTTGATAGCCCCTGGAGTCGCTCCATGATAGACTTGACACTGGACTCAGAAATAGACAAGTATGAACTTAGACAACGAATGAATCTCACAATGGAGGAAATCAACAGAAGAGGTAAATAGAACAAGCATGAATAATTACTGTAGAATTACTGATTATATTTATTGAGATCTTCTATCATAAATGTCATATTTTCAGAGAGCATGGAAGGTACTTGTTCAAGTTAGCTATTTCTTGTATCAGTATACAAGAAATTTCAGTAAAATCCACCCGTAATGTCACTCTTTTGTCTGAGCGCTCCATTATTTTAGTAGGAATGGAGAGTTGCAAATTACATTGAAAACAGAATTTGTTATGTTCATATTCTCCTTCCCGTACCTCTACTGAGGAAAGAACTTAGAAAATTTTAACAATTTTACTTTCACATAAAGAAAATAAATGTGGCACTGTTGAGAATTGAACCTGGTACCTTCACCTTCGCAGTCAGGCACTCATCTCACTACGCTATCGAAGCTGTTGAATGACAGCGGATTTAAATAACTTCAGTACACTTTTTTCGCCTTACATTCTCTATATATAAATAAATACTACTAGTATGTTAAATGTATATTTACAGTGTAATTTGTAAATATTCTTTATTTTATATTAAGAAACAATAATTACAAGCATTTAAAAAGGTGGATTTTACATGGGTTAATATACTCGTAGCGCTCCATTCCTTAAAAGCCATGGGCCTCGGCTCCATTACTTTTAAGGAATGGAGCGCTACTCGTACATTAACCCTTACATATTAATGCAGATTAACCCCACCTACTAGTAATATGTATGTAAAGTAGTAAACACTAGTAGAGACAGAATTGTGATATCCATCTTCAAATTATGTAACAAAAATTAATACCAAATATTCTTAACTCATGGCTGACTTCCTAAAACCTCATTTACAAATACTGATTAATCTCTGAGTTGTTTATTATATGGTAAAATACTACTTACCTAAGACTCAGCAGCATTTATGCATACTTGTAAAATGGATTAAAAAAAAATTAAGACAAGAAGTTGTCTAAACACTGTTAAAAAAAATAAGTATATAAATAAATAAAAAACCTCTGACCAAGCAAAGATATCTGTAGAAAACTTTCATGTAAGTAACAATGATAGTGGTCTGATTAGTGATATTTTTTGTTTCAATTTTATTTTGTCTTAATAAGCAATCTTAATTTTATATCTAGCAGTTTTTAAAAGGACCCAAAGCCTCCGTAGCTAAGGATTAAAGAGAATTAAGATTATGTGATCAGATGAAATAGATCATGAAAATACAGACAATTTGCTACATAGGGAGACTAACTCTTGCTTGAATATTTATTTAGTAAATAATCTTCATAACAAAAGTTTTATAGATTAATGCATGTTTAAAACTTGGTGAATTAGAATGAGGATAATTACACATACATTGTATACAAGTATATTTATTTGCATGTCTTATTCATGTGTGCCTAAATAATCATGATTATGTTAAACAATTGCATGCTTTGCATGGATAATTCCTGTATGTATGCACCCCTTCTAGCTGAGGAAGATTTCAGAGAAGCCAGAACATCTAAGGAACGATATTTACGAAGGAAAATGACATTCATTGCGCAGATGAGGAGTAAGAGACTTCGCACCCTCCCTTCTGTTTTATTTATACCCTCATTTTCAGTATATCATTGCACTCTTTCCCTATGAGATTTTCTCTTCATCGTTTTTTTCCTCTTTTTGGTTCTTTTGCTATCAATTATATGCACATACAAAGTACTATTTGATTTAATTTGTGAGTCTCCTTAGCACAATTTTTTCTGCGTTATGACTCTGTTTCAGCAATACCACAGTTTATAGCAATGGTGGTTGGTAATTAAGACTTGTTCAAAATGAGTAATCCTTGGGTAAAAGCTACTCTATGTACCCTCAGTACACATTGAGTTTGATATTAGTGTTATATGGAACTTTAAAACTGAAATCTTATTCTCATGAAATAATAACTTTATGGTAATGGTCAACACTGCAGTTTTGAAAGAAGTCTTAATGATGTTAAAATTAAATAAATTCTGAGATGCAGCTTTTATGTACATACTTTATCTTTTAAATATACCAATTTTGTCCATAATTATCTGCTTTCAATATGCAAATAGTTTGTTACTGTCAGATGACAGAATTATGTTTTTAATATTTCAGTTTGAGTTTTAGAGACTCAGTACAGTGAATTAACGTTCACTTTGTAATGACCTCATGCATGTTTTAATGACTTAATTAATTGACAATTGCATCTTGTATAAAATCAAAATTTAGAGACAAACTTTAATGAAGTGTTAAAAATAAGCTTTTTTGTGTTTATTGCATTCATTTTGATTGTTTTCTGCATTTAACTACCATTTAATATGCTCAAAGCATTGAAATATAGGAGAAAAAAGATAAACTCATAAACCATAAAGGCACAATTTCTCCTTAAAAAAGCATTTTTTAAAAGTTTTATTTATTCAAAGAATATTTCAGAATACAAGTTTTGTTTTCAGAGGGATGTTTTCATTAATGTATCTACTGTTCTGTTGTAATTTTTGTTGTTGTAATGTTATCTTGTCCCGTGTTTTAGGTGGGAGAAGAAGAAGGAGGAAAGCTATCAGTGTGTTAGATGGGGAGGACACACCTCATGCCTCAGACCAGGAATCAGGGGGAGAGGACATGCCAAAGTTTGACTTCCCTATGTTTGGTAACTCCCCTGGTCCCTCTCCCATCCCTACTCCTCCCTCACATCCAGCCACACCAGAGGTAGAAGAAGTTGTGGAGGTTTGTATGACTTTTCTATCAATTTGAAAGGACTTGTGGATTTTTTTTTTTATATATAAGTACTGTAGATTCCTAAATATATGCAAGGAATTAATTATCGTGTAATTATGCGAGAAGCACCACTCACAAAATAAAATTACTCCCTTTTAATTTTATGGAGCTGAAATCAATGTAAAATGTCTTGATCAACCGTCCACTTGGGAATTATTGTTCTCGCGATTTGACGTGAAAGAGCCATTTTGCAATAATAAGTACTCTCCAAAAATAAGGAGTCTACAGTACTGTCTTGCACCTGTATTAAATGGTACATATTTTATACATGAATGCAATAAAAATGAAAAAAAAACAGGTATAAATTAAAATGAATTTATTCCATTGGTAAATACAAGATACATAATAATGCAAACATTAAATCTTGGCTGCATTTTTTTAGCAATGAATATTTTAAATAGCTTGGAAGGTCCAACAGAAGTTCTGGATATCCCCCTCCCTAAGAATTTTTTAGTTTAATGTACATGGTATACAAATGCATGTATAACCTTTAAATGATTTTGGAAACACAGAAAAAAACAACAAAATCATAGAAAAATCTTCTAAAATGAAAGAAATCTACCTTCTGTTTGGGAAAACATGGTTGTAAAGAACTTTATTCTATAATGGCTAATATCTGCACTCAAAATCAAACTTTGATGGACAAATCTTTAGTTATATTCTTAATTAGGAAAAAAATTGTAGACTTCAAAGCATAAAATCATTTCATCATTTGTGATGTCATAAGGTACTAATGATGTCAATAAAATGATGCAAATTTACCATTTCACTGATTTTGGAAAGAAAAATGTGTTTTTTGCACTAATATTTTGATTGGAAAATTTGAAACGCAGGTCTGCTGAGACTTGATCTTTTGATACAATGTGTAGAATGGTAATATCAATGAAATATGTGAATCTTGTACCAGAGCAAGTTTGTGCTGTTTTTAAAAAAGCTATCATCAAAATTGAATATAATTTTGCATTTGTCTCTTTTTTTTTAAATTACAGTGTAACTGTTAAATCCAATTTTGTGATGTCACAGAGGCAAAATTGTCAATTATTTGTTTCTAATCCATAATATATTTTGTTTATACAGATGTTTAATTCAAATATGTACAATTGTGCATATTTTAAGGGAATTTAAAAATTGACTATACTGGGGACAGGAATACTGTTTACTGAATATACATGTAGTTTTTAATTTACTTGCTCACCCCACCCCCACCCAATCCTACATACCTACTGCCAAATGAATGTAAAAAATGTAAAAATGTTAGATAGGTTTCTGGTACTGGATATCCCCTCACCCCTACGAGGAAATTCATGCATCCAGTTGTTGGTGCAGGTGCTGTATTTCATTTAGAAAAGCCCTGAAATTTACTATACATGTTCCTTTCCAAAAAGCATTTAGTGGCAACTTAATATAAATTTATGTATTGGTTATCTTTCATAAATGATCAATTTAAAAATCTGTACAATTTTTCTTTTGCATATATGCATAAATAGAGCAAAAACCTTCTTCTTGCTCATATTAAAATTAAAAAAAAAAGGTTTTTATTCGTCCAACATCATTGAGTAAGCAGCAGAATGGGATAGAAATATATTGAACTCACAAACTTATTTGTTTGGGATTTTTATTGGTGATTATTTTGGAAATGTACTCTTATGAAAATCAAATCAAAGAGTCTGTAAAATTCTTGTTTGTATTTTTGTATTGTGTATATTTGTATTTTCAGACATGTATAGAGGTAAAATTATTTCAGGCATTGTGTGTGAAATTTTGAACACAAATATACAGAAAGACTAACATTAGATAATATCTAAGATTGTACTATAGACCAGAAATTTGTTTATTAATTGGACTATCAGCACCTGTGATTCTCTATAGCATTTCTAATTAAAGAGCATATCTTACATGTATCTTTTCATTCTCATCAATGCACTGAATTTTTATGCACTCTAAAAATGTATTTAATTCCCCTAAAGAATGATTCTTTGCCATGTTTAAAAAAAGTACAGGGCCACAGAAAATTTTAAACTATTACATACACATACATTTTCAGGGTGGGATTTCTTTACGCTATGTGCATGTTCAAAAGTTTGCCGGGAAAATTTGTCAGGGCCTACTTCATGTGCATTTAAGATCTACAAGAATCTCAGAAATTTGCATAATTTTCTTCTTGTGGATCAAACAGAAATTTTGATTCTGCGATATTATGATCCTGTGGGAAAAAATACACATTAAAATGAAATTTAATTATTTATTTAGGAAGTTGAAGCTCCTCCACAAAAGCCATTAGATGATAATTTTGTTCTCAAAGAAGTCCCAGAAGGTGAGGTTGATGTGATTATTAGCATGAACAGCTTGACTGAATTCCTTAATGCAGAATTTTGATTGCTTCTAATATTATAAAAGCCTTGTAAAGTAACATAATTTCATATCCTGTACAGTTAAGGAACTTAATTTTTGAAAGCTTATTGCATTAACAGCTGTATGCAAATATTGTACATGTATATAAATTATGCATTTGTTTGCAAATTTAATATTAATTTTTACACATTTCATTTTTTGAATCATAATATTGATTTGTACCATATTTCTCTTAAAACATTGCATTCATTGATTTCATATTTTAAAAGTAATCTTTTTTTTTTATTTTTTCATTACAATTTTAGAGGATCCCTTTGGACATTTTCCTCCTAATGAGATAGAATATACTTCAAAATATCCCCCGATCCCAGTCAAAAAGCCTGCCAAAGGCCTCGAGTCTCTGTCCTACCCTGATCAGAAAATCCAAAAACAAAACCCCCAAGAAACTGCTCCACCAGAATCCAACATTTCTTCTCCTTCTCTCTCCTCTCATAGGGGTAGTTCAGTTCATGTTGATCAGAAAGGTAGGCCCACACCTACATTTGAAAGATTCCCCACCCCCTCCTCTCACAGAGGTAATTTTAGCCACATGGACCACAAGAGTGTGTCTACTCCCACGTTTGAGAGAATCCCCACCCCCGATACACTGGTGTCAGAATGGTCTCAATGGAGTGAAGATGTCCAAATTCCTAGATTTCATAGCAATTCCACCCTCAATTTCCCATTAGGAGGTAAAGTTTAGACATATGTGGATGTCCTGCTATCATAGCACAGTGTTGTAAAGGGAAAAGTCTGGGATGAACATCAACTCATTACCAAGGGATTTTTTTTATCTTGACTTTGAATTAAACTTAATGTAAATATTTTTTCTATTTAATGAATATTGTTGCCCAGATAAAATGTATCATTCTAATTTCATATCCTTGATATTGAGTTGATTGTAGTAAACACTGGTAAAGGATACTTGAAGCAATTAATTACTGTTTATGAAGCACAGTAAACACCACAAGCCAGGGAAATGTATTAATTTGGTAGGTCTGAACAAATTTAGTAAAATTTTGAAATGAGAATACAAAGGAAAAGGAATTTTTCAGTCGATGATAATTGAAGTTCTTTTAATGAACATTTTCTTCTAAGTGGAAATACCCCTATCAATGAATTTTTAATGTTTTGAGTAAATTTGTACAGACCTTCTAAATTTTGTTCAGTTTTACTCTGTAGATCAATGTTAGGCTGTTTTTTTTTAAAAGTTATGTACATTGTTAATGTTATTCTTAATGCATATGTTCATATAAAAACAAGAGTATCTATTGTAGTGCCAGGTTAGTGTTCTTATAGATATGTATAATTCATAAAATTTGTCATAGTTATTGTTCTTATAGAATCATTAATGGAGTTTATAGTTTTGCAAGATATGTTAAACTATATATATCATGTTTTTTGTGCATCAATTAAATTCTGTGTTTTTTTTTTTTTGGGGGGGGGGGGGGGGGGGTCTGTATGTTATATAAAACAAATATTAGTGTACACGTATAAGTTTCATGTAGCAATGACACATTTAAGAATATATCGTAATATATATTAAAAAAACTTGATATCTTAAAAGAGGACTTTAATGTATGACTAAAGCAGTCCAGGAACTGACATTATTTTTATAAATTTGATAACATTCAAGATCACTACTTCAGGACTGAAACCTGCTGATATTGGTGAAACGTGTATTACAAAATCCCCGGATTCTGCCGATGCTGTTGATGGAGTTACACTTAATGTAACAAACGAAGACCAGGCAATATCAGAAACACCTCCCGATAAAAAATCTCACCCAATCAAGAACTCCAAATCCAAAAAAGACACCCCCAGGAAATTTAAAGTAATGAAGCAGCAAAAGCCAGAGGAAAAGACATGTAAAATACCACAAAAATACCTTCCTTACATATGTACCTTTGAGTCTTAAAAACACCGTCTTCTGTACCTCTGAAATTCAACCACTATCCTTTATGTGTATCTCTGATATCCCCTGTAAAATCTCCTCCTCCTTGATTACTAACTGATCTCAAAATTCTGTAAGAAAAAAAAGTTTGTCTTTAAATTTTACATTTCTTTTTTTTTTTTTCAAAATATGGTAATGGATATATATTTCAGTATTCTGAGGACTGTACATAATATAAATTACAGTGTTATTGGTTTGACTAGTAATCATATAAAATACTTTTTTTCATCATTGGTAATGGGCTCTGTGAAGAAGTGGACTATTTATATACAGCTCCTGTTTTTTTTAAACACTCACGTTTTTGGAGGAATTAAGGACACAATAGTTTTTTTTTAATTTATTTGGATTTGGAAATATATTTGAATGAAGAAAGGGATTAAAATGCATGTAAATTACTAGTATATCAAAATATCACATTAAGAGATAAGTATGCTATCATGCTAAACAGAATAATACTATATTCAGGGAAATAATATTTTCATTATGTAGTTTACAATACGTGTATTTACATTATTTGTATGCTTATAGCTAAATTTACAAACCTTTAAAAATAAGTTTTAATTTTTCCTCTTCATGGATTTCATAATTAATCAGTTGTACTCTTGTAAGAAAAGTACAGGCATATTAAATAATTAGAATTCTAGTGTTTGGATATGCTGAATTGGACATAAGTAAAATATCAATTTTCATTTCACCCATATCATTTTCATGATCTCAAAACAAAGTTTATCATTTTTTTCCCATAGAAATATTTATAATACAATAATGAGACTGAATGTATATAGTTGTCTTTAAAAGCAACTAAATTATTATTCTAGCAATGTTAGAAAATTAAGCCTATAGTATATTTATTATAAAATGTGTGAGTGTTAAAAATATCGGTGCTGTATAAAGCTACTAATTGTTCTCCCGTAAATTACACTGTATTGATGTCTGGGTATTAGGATTAGTTATTTTCCTTGCACTTTATATATTTTTTGCTGTCTGATAATGGTGTCTGATAATGTACAAAAATGATATTACATGCGCTTGTCTTTGTCCAGTGTTCATGTATAAAATGCATTCTTAGCACTAAAATCTATATATGCCATTTGTTTTTGAGGTTTTGCACCAATTGCTAATTAGAATACCTAGATATTTATGAAAAAATATATGAACAACTTTACAAACATTAATTCATGTATATATTATGAAGTAAAACAAGCTTTGTAAATTTTAATTCATTTAGTATTGTTATTGTGTGTAAATTGTCATTTCATACTTATTAGAATATACAAAATACCTCTTCATCATCAAATCTAAAATTGTCTCGGCAGTTCTATACGTTATAGATTGTAAAACGTTATTGGCCTTGGTCCTTTACAGTTGAGGGGACAGAATTGGTTGCTCAGCAACAGCAGGTAGAAACAAAAACAGATTCCTCCGAGGAAGAAGAAGTGATCCCAGATCGGAGAAACAAGTACAGACTTGATAACATCAAACTGGATGTCAAGGGTCTAATGAAGAGTGCCAAACCTGTAGTGAAGAAAGCCAAACCGCCAAGAAAGACTGACCCCTCACCGGCCAGATCTGACCACACACATGCCAAGCCCGAGGAACAACTCCTAACTCCTGTATGTCAGATATGATAGCTACAGATTCTTGTTTTACATACTTTGTAGAGAATTCATTATGTTCTGTGCTATAATTAATTGCTGAATGAATTTGATTAGTTTATTAATATTTAATCAGCCATAAGGAAAATGAGATGATTTAAGACAAAAGTTGTTTTTATTCCGTCAGTTGATGCTATCATTTGTTGGTAATGAAAAGTTGTGATGGGATAAAACTAAACACAATATTAATTTGATTTAATAGGAAGAACTTGCTCGCAAACAGGCAGAGGAAGAGAGACGATTAGAAAGAGTTAAAAAACAAATGTTAAAGGATAGAAAATTCCCAAAACGCGGGAATAAACCAACGCGTGCAGAACTCATAGCGGAACAAAGGCGCTTAGAAGAGTTGAAGAAGGAACACCCATACGGGGTGGCTCCACAACTCTCGGTATGTGTCTGAGAGAGTAACGCTTCTTAGATAAAGTTAAGTTTGATTGAAAAAAAATATTATAAAAAGTAATCTGGAAGGAATGTCTATGGTACATTATTTAAATGAGTCACAAGAACACTTAATCTGTAAATATATTTCAGGTAAACCTGTTTGAATTATTAAAATCCTGCTCTATTTTTGCGTGTGTTTATTAGAATTATGCTTGTTTTTACATACAGGTTTAGAAAATAAAAGGTGTCAGTTGGTAAATGGAGAATATAGACATTCATAGAAGTATAGAAAATTAAACCTGCTTACTCAATCATTTAACTTTTTCATTTATAAATTGTTCTTTTATTTTCAGCTGAAACTCTTAAAAAATGAATATTATCTAAATCCTGGAAGCAAATTTTAATACTATTACAATGCTTCATAAATTTCTTTTTTCTATCCAAACTCTAAGAAATAACCCAACCCCTACCTAAGAATTCTGTCTTTATATTTCCTACCGAATACTTACTCAGCATTTTCCAAAACAATAATATGCATATGTAAAGTAATTGTAGTTGTGACAGATAATGATTTATAGTAAGAGTAGATACTAATTTCTTAACACAAATCTTTTTGAATACCATTCACACTCTTCTAAGATGTACAGTATATATTAGCATCTGACAGCATACCCAAAACATGATGATAATATTTTTAATTTATTATGATATTGATTTTTAGCAACAATTGAATAAGAAACCTCCACAGGAGGAGAAAAAAGAGGATGTCCCAATACAAGAGTTGAAGGAGGATTACCCTTTAGTAGAGTTCGATCAGCCTGACTTGGACAGCTTTCAAGATGAGCTTTGGAACCCCCGAGAAACAGGCGTCAGTGGAACAAGTTTAATGGGAACCAAACTAGATCTGCCACAGATCAGACGTGGGGCCGCAGGAACGCCAGGACCCAGGATAATTAAACCTCCTCCCACACCAATATCAAGAGGGGCGACACCTCTTCCACCTGAAAATAATGGCTATCTGCAGGTCCCCACTACACCCACTCCAGGAAGCAGATTAGAGGTCCCATTGGAGGTATGTTTGATGTCTGATATTTTTTAACTTCCTCTTATCAAAAAACATATGTTTTGCTAATTCTCTTATTTAAAAATGATTCCCCCTTCCAAAAAATAGAAGAGTTCAAGAGTATTTTTTCATGGGAAGCTCGTTTTAAAGAAGGAAAAGCACATATGGAGTTGTCATACATAAACATAACAAACATACAAATGATTTTTACCATTGTTTCCTTTGTCTATTTTGTATTTTATAAGTTTGCATACTTACACTGTTAGGGGCTCGTATCATATGAACCTTTCAAAAAATGGAAGTATCAGAACGAGTGTTCTTTGTGCAGAGCTTTTTTGTTTGATTCTTAAAATCAATGCATATTAATCAATTATACGAATTTAAAATAATTCGAGTTTAGTTTTGTGCAATACCTGTGTATAGCGGTAAAAAGATCTTACAGCATAAAACTGAAAGCTGAAACGACCACCATTCATTTGGGTGTGTTACTGATTTCTGTTTATTTTTAAAAATTATTTGCTTTTCAGCATGAAACATTTTAAGATTTTTTTTTTAAAACTCTGTTTTTCTTTATACATTCAAAAATTCATACAAAATTATGTCACCCTGGGGTTAGTAGGAAAATCCGCAGAACGTTTGATCAGGACTAGTCTAGGTCTCTTTTTGTCTCTCAGTTGATTTGATACGCAAGAGCATACCGTACGTATGAACAATTTCTAAAACGAGGCAAGTTTTTGACAAGTTGATGAAACAAAGATATCAACAGTCTCGTTTGAAGTCATCATTTCGCAAGTTTTATGGTTGATACAATAATCTTGTCAGCAAATACAACCTATCATTAAGTCAAATGCCTTACTGACGTTTTTCATACTAATTGTTAGGCCATTATTTACATACTGAATTATCTACGGATTTTTCCGTTTTTCCCGATCATGACAAGGAGCACATGGCGGCTGTGACCGGTCGGCAAGGGATGCTCACTCTTCTTTGGCACCTGATCCCACCTCTACTGTTTTTGGAGGTCCATGTTTGCTTTGATCCCGATTTGTATTGTTTAAATGGATTTGGAACTTGAATACTGTTCGTTACATGTATCTTCATATTTCATTTTACTTTTTTCAGAATAACAGATACTCCATTTGTGATATTTTCTGCGAATTTTTTTTCCAAAGTGGTTTTTAGTTTTTCAAGAGTTTACAAACCAGAAAGAGATGTCATGTTTAAGTAACCTGAAAGAATGTGGAAGCACAGAGGATTTTTTAAGACTCATGTTTTGTGTAATTAGTAATTTGTTTCATATTATTAGAAAACAGGTAGATCAGGAAAATCTTGTAATCAAGTTGAATTACCCAGGTAAATCCACGTAATTGATTGTACGTGTATGTTGTTTTACGTCCCATTCGAGAATTGTTTACCCAAGAGACGTCACCAATATACCGGTGAAAGGCTTCAAATTTAGACCTATACTCTGCACTCTGGATTCTTTATCGTGCAAAGGCCTACCGTGACACGGAACCTCGGTTTTGAAGGTCTCATCCGAAAGACCCGTGATTTTCACTTTTAATGCCGGGCTCTTGACGAAGGAACAGTCACCACCTATGTTACGTCTTAGGTTTGATTCGGCGCCTATGTTACGTCTTAGGTTTGATTCGGCGCCTATGTTACGTCTTAGGTTTGATGCGGCGCCACTAACGAGAATCCAACCCGGGCCTACCGATCCCGATGTCAATGAACTAAAATACAATTTGAACATATTTTTTTTTATTCTTTTGAATATCTTTCAATAATGCCTTGCTGTATTTATAGACATTCTGTTTGAAGGTCTCTGCTTACCCGATGGATGTGTTCGAGGACGAATGCTGAATGTGATATATCACCTGAATATTAAAATGTTTTCTCCTTTAAAGCACTTTTTTTTTCAAAAGATGACATATTTGCTCTCTAGTAGATGTGTGGGAAAACTTTGAATATGCCTTATTGCTTGAAATCTAAAATATGATTTTCAATTTGATCTGCCAATTTTTAAAAGCATAAACCTAGCAGAAAAGATGTGAAAATTTCCAAATAAAAGTATTTTTTCGGGAAAATTGACAAGCACTTTACATTTCTTGCTAAAAAGTTTTTATTTTGGGGGATGGGGTGGGGGGTTTTATTAAAAGATTTTTCAGTCAGATTTACATTCGAAAATAAGGTAATAAGTGAATAAACCTTCATTTGTCATTTTCCTTTATTTTAGAATTAGCACTTCTGGTGAACTTCTTAGAGTAAAGTTAATTTATTTGATGAATATTGCGTGAAACTGTTGTTGCTTTTGCAGATGAAAACTCATTCCTTTTAAGTGCTAGCCTTTTCCTTTTCTAAACATCAGAAAGAAATATTAACTACCATCTACGTCGAGTTAAATCCCATGCACAGTCGTCAAGACAAAAAATAATTATTTAGCAACAAATAATACATACAGTCGTAATTAATTATAAAGATTGCAAATTACGAACCTCTGGGAGAGAACATAATGGAAAGCAGCGATAAGATGCTAGGCAGTTTGAACAAATGACTTTTGACAAGTGGTGATTTAAATAGCCCGAGCAATCACGATAGCAAACATAGGGAAAACTCCAAAGAACACATTTATGAAAGGACTCTGTCATTCCCTTTAAATTACAGGTTTTCTTCAGATTTCTAATTATTTAAATATTGGTGGAATGGATTAGCAAGATTTCTGTAGGGAGTTTACAAAGATTTCAATTAAATCAGTTCGCTTGAATGTTCCACAGAGAGAATTGTATGTGTTTGGAAGTTAGATGTAGTTTTGTTATATCTGTTATGTTGAAGTATTATTTTGGTATACAAAAATGCGGAAAATATGTTTCCGAGTCACTGTAAGTAGACTGAGATTGTAAACTAATTGATTATGAGAGAAATAGGCATTTATATTATATTTTTGGATCATTGTGTTTGATTCATAAGCAGCAGTTAAATCCTCAATAGGAAGTGGTGCATATAACGATTCAATGCTGAATGTGCATTATTATTTCACATGAATGAATTATTAAGTTTTGATGTACCTGAAAAAAATACATAAAGAAATGGAACCAATATTAAACCTTAAATAATCATACATGAACTGTCTTTTCTTATTATTAGATCGACAAAGTTCCAGATGAAGTGAGGAGAGAACTCCAATCACGACAAGGTACTTGTCTCTTTATTGAAAAAAGATTAAATTTCTAGTATGCGATAACGAACACAGTAATTTTTGTGATTTCTGGAATAAAATATTTTTAGTAACAACCATGTCCTTTGCAGGAATTACTATTCAAAAACGAAAACCATTTTCAAGATAAAATATACATTGTTCCATGAAAATAAAGAAATAGTAATACCGGTGTACTAGTATATATTTTGCCATTATTTTGATACACCTTCATAAATTATACTGTAACATGGTGTAAATATTTTAATCATTCACAGTTTAGGACATGCATGCATCATGTATTCACAGTGCATGAATTTGTTTAATAGATGCATGACACATTGCATGAAATAGCGTATGTTTGCATGAAATAAGATTGCTTACCGATTTGGCAGGCCGTATTTCTCCACTAAAAGGATTAGAAGAAGAGGAGGATCAGGATAACCTTATTCCTGACATAGAAACAGCAGTACAAAGACAGTGGAATGTACAAAATGATCTCCCAGAAAGACCCCGGTCTGAGACCCCCACGGCGGCCCTTAAGAAACTTTCAGACTCCCGTAAAGGGGCCCCCAAACTGATTAGGGTAGATCTACCCAAAGAAAGTGACGGCAAAGTGGATACATGTAATTTACAGCTTAGCCACCTTTTGTTTTCCTTCGTTGTTTTCCTTTTCCGTGTCTTTGCTTTAAAACCTAACATGAATTTTTATATTAACCATTCTCTACTACTTAGTTTCCATTTTCCCTTCATTCTCTGACGAAGAATGAATAAGTAACCCCTTGTTTTTGACATTGTGCCCTCATTATTCAACATATAAATTTAACAAATCACCATGATACACTGTTTAAACGGGTAAAATTCGCCAAGGAAATTGACCTATTATTGAGTTATTTAATTCATAATTATAATATTATCATTTATTATAACAATTTTCTGTTTCAGATATATTGAAAACCAAAGTACTTTGTAGTTTATATTGTGCGTCTGATAAATGTTTTAAAATTAATGTATAATTTTACCTTGCTTTCCAAGTTTACAGAAATGCATTAATTTTCAGATCATAAAAAAAACAACTTTGCACCCTTTTTATGAAAATCTTTTATAATTCTAATAAAATAATCTTGCACTTGCTTCTATATAAATGTTTATACGTATACATGCTTATTAACACATTTTTTTTCTCACATGATTTGTGTTCATAACAGTACTGCATTTTATTCTAATTTTCTTTGTGCTAATAAAAACATATTGTTATACAAACATAATCTTTTTTTTTTCAAAAAGCATGGATTAAATAGTAAAATTGCATGAACATTTCTTGTATGATACTACCAAAACGATTTTCTGCAACGATCCCATCTACATGCATTATAATCTGATTTTCTGTAAAAAGCCATATCTTATGAATGTAATGCCATTGCTCCTTCCCTCTACGTAGATCGCTCTAGGTTAGCCTCTCCCATCTCCGAGATGACTGAGGACCGGTCACACTTCAGTGGTCACGAGGCAGACGATGAAATGGATCGGCAGAGGCCTCGGACCCACTACAAAAGCAGAAGAGAAAGATCTCTACTTACAAAGGAGGAGTTAAAATATATCCAACAGAGACCAAACTCTTCCTTCCACAGACCCAAGCCTTCAGAAAGTAAGAACCTTATACCAAGACTTCTCTTTTATTATATTTATATCTTCTGTAAAGTTCAAATTATAGTTAATGTTACTCCTTCATTGGATGTGGATTATCAGAGAGAGTCAGAGAGACATTCTATCAAAATAATTTTATTCCCTTAACGTGAAATAGGAAACTTTTTGAAATTAACAAAATGATCATTTATTACATGTTCATATCTTCTTTCTTGCTAATCAGACTTGGAGGTGGTGATACTTTTAGATTTTGAAACATCTAGAATTTTATGTTATTTCCATTTCTCTTTGATGACTTTTGTCTTGTCCTCATACTTCTCATTCTGTGATAGAATATCTAGATCTTCTTGGTAAGACACTGATAGAATTCCATTTTCTTAACAGCTCTGATTTTTATTTGCACTTAGCTACTTAGATTATAAAAAATTGAAATAATGAAAATATTTTATAAAACAGTTTAAGTGGTATAATTGAATCTTATTTGACAACTTTTACGTGTACGTTGAGTATTCAATTTAGACCATTTGTCACACGTGAGAAAATCTGTTGTCAATTTAAAGTGTGAGAAGAGTTATACAAATACATAATTTCAAAAAAGTAATTTATTTAAGTAAGATTTTAAGGTATATGCAACTATTAATTATTGCAAGTACAAATCATAGTGCATAATCGTATACAAATTGAAATGTCGATACAGCGACCTTGTCAGCAAGTACAATCTATCATTAAGTCGAATGCTGACTGACGTTTTTCAAACTAATTGTTAGACATTATTTACACATTGAATTGTCTATGATTTTTCTGTTTTTCCTATCATGACAATGAACACACGGCTGGTGTGACCGGTAAACAAGGGATGCTTACTCCATGGCACCTGATCCCACCTCTGATGTTTTTAGAGGTCCATGTTTGCACTGCTCCCGATTTGTATTGTTTCAATGGACTTTTGAGCTTGATTACAGTTCGTTATCTCCATATTTCATGTAGCAGTTCATCGGTTATTTTAACAGGAATAGTGCGATTTTCATCAGAAATAAAACATTTTAGTGAGTCTTTAACTTTAGGATTTGGGAATATATTAAGCAGTGTATTCAGGGAATGTCGGGATTTAACATGTTCAATAGGATGTAGATCACAATAAAGAATGCACACACGTACTGGGGTACCTACAGTGTTCACGTTTTTGCATTGTTCTATCACGTGTTTTCCATCACATAAATATGTTTATATTGTATCTGTATTGACAACACATAGAAACTAACATGTATTACATTGTAACACATCTTCATGAAATTAAGAGATTTACGAGCAAGACTAAAAACTTGGAGAATACGAGCAGACAATTGAAATTCGAACTTCTTTTGCAAGGGTAAAATTAAGACCAATATCGAAGTCTCTAAAAGGCAATATTATATTTATGATTTGGAATGAAAAAATATGTTTTGAAAAAGATATGATGTTATAAGATCATCCTTGCTTAGGAAATATTAAAAACCTTTGTTAAAAAATTTTATTATCTTGAAAACCCTGTTTTATTTTTTCAAATGTCTTTCAATTCTACAAATGTGTTTAATATTTTATAAACACTAATGATAAGTACAGTTAATGAAGAGTTTGCATCGTGTTCTATTACTTTTCCCTAGCGCAAGATGACACGGTTCGTCCGCAGACAGCCCACGTCAGATTTCAAGCAGAGGTAAGTCTTATAATGCATGTAGATCCCTCACGACTGACCTATTTAAATTGTGTTCACCTTCCGGATCAAAAAAACGTGTTATATTTGATACATAAACATGTTATATAAAAGGTTTTTGTTCGGATGATTTCTGATGGTTTAAATAAATGTATGAAAAAAAGATAAAAATCTGTTAATTTGAACCAAGTTTTGTGCGTTACTAAATGAGCATACGACATTTTCAATTTAATATCATTACACTTCAGAAAATATATTTAATAAAAATCAGTAAATGAATATTCAGAGTCGTGAATGTGTTGAAATAAATTTTAGTCCTCAGAATCGGAAAAAGTCGACATTGCGGTATGGAAATATTTTTTTTTGCTATTTTCGTACTTCTTTTTCAACAGTAGTAGTTTCTATCAATCATGCATGCCTTAAATGAAAGAAAAATAGAAAATTCTTCTTGTAGAAAGATAAGTAGTATAGATTTCTGTACAAGATAATGGAAAATTGTAGAAGTAGGCAGTATATTTATATTTGGAATGTGCAAGAGCTTTACAAGAAGCACACATATATTATTGCTGTAGTTCTTCAAAACAACAGACAGATATACAATTGGAGGATGTGATTAAATATACATTATGTTTTTTGTATGTCTTCTTTAAAGCTTCATCGTTGTTAGCACCATTGTACATGTACAAGCAAAGTCTGCACTACTTAAAAACAATACCATGGTCTTTGAAATTTAATAACAATTTATGTGCACCAAATTTATAAAAACATCCTATTTGCAATGTTACGTAACAACAAGTGAGCTTATTCTGTCTGTAAAGGAAAATTTCACGGCTATTTTCCCGCGATTTTTTTTTTCATCTTTAATTTGACGATTTGATACGTAAGCACAAAACAGCTACTTTCAGATCAAGTAATATTTGACAGTTTGATATTAAGATATTGGGGAGAGGACTACCTAAGTTGGAACTTGTGTACGATATCTTTAACATACTGTCAATACAAGTTGTCCAAAACAAACAATAAAATATTGTTTTAACGCGAGGTACATTTGTATACCCGGTATTCGTTTACAGTAACAGCCTTCAGTAAACTCTGTCCTTTAGGAAACTGTTGATTGTTGATTGATTGATTGTATTTTGTTTAACGTCCCTCTCGAGAATTTTTCACTCATATGGAGACGCCACCATTTGCCGATGGAGAGCTGCAAATTTTGTCCTATACTTGGCACTTACGGCCATTGAGCAGTGAGGGGTCTTTTTCGTGCCAGCACCTACTGCGACACGGGACCTCGGTTTATACGGTCTCATCCGAAGGACCGGTCTCCACGTCCCACAGTGGGATTCGAACCCGCGACGAAAGGATCAACTCCTTACTTCGCGACTCTAGAGCAGACGCTCTAACCACTGCGCCACGCGGGCGACAGGAAACTGTTGAATGTTGAACATAAGTGACATTCGAGAGAATTGTCATTCTCACTTTCACTTTCTCATCAAGAGTGAGCATTTTCAAATATATCGAGTGAAATCATAATATTTTTTTGTCAAGGTAAACCTTTGATATACCGCACTTATTAGTTTAAAGTAAAAAGCAATCTGTAGTACATTTCAAGGGAAATAGAAATTTGGTATAGATATTGGGTTACTTTACACATACTTTGAACGAGAAGGAGTCTTTTTTAGTGATAGATAAATGAAAAAAAAAATAAGCCGTGAGTATAAAAGATTCCCCCGCAATCGATTATGAGAGATATCTCAGGCCCGTAGCAACGGTTTCAAAAGTGTGTGTGTGGGGGGGGGGGGGTCAACTTGCCAAAAAATATGACAAGCAAAAGAAAAAAAACCTAAACTGACCAAAAGTGGGGACCCAATTTCCTAAAATTATCTGACAAGGAAAAAAACTAATTTACTGTACCAATCCTAAAATTTGCCGGTACTCGACCTTACAACATCAAAAAGTGTGTGTGTGTGGGGGGGGGGGGGGGGGGGACCAGCATCTAAAGGAAAAATTATTATAGCAAAATACTATACTCAGAACAAAGTGCTACGGGCCTGTATCTTTTTTTACGTTCCCCACGAGAAAATTGCACGTCACATTAATGTGCAATACAGATTGCCCACAATAATAAACATTTGGTCAAGAAGTGACAATTAAAATACACTTAACTTGGCGAGAAAGACTAAACACATGTACAGTGTACATGAAAATGTAATCGCTTCATTCCCAGTATTTGTTCAGTTTTGTGAGGTGTAAACTTGCAAGCTGTCTGATATTTATCTGATTTGATTTCAATTTGTTTAATTTTCAAAAATCATTTTATACTTGTCATGTCTGTGCAATGTGCTTTTCCAGAAATAAAAAAATAAAATAATCAGATGGAGTGTTCAAAAATGTATATTTTATGATAAAGACCTATTTCTGTCACATTTTAATTATCACAGCTGTATTTAAACTTTTTACCTTTGCTGCTGTCTTTCAAATGCAGTTCAAAATAAATCAGATCATGTCTGCACCACTTCACTTCCCCAACCCGAATGTTGTGGTCAAATTTCAACTTAAACAATGCATTGATAGGGGGATTAAAAAGATTATAGTATAAACAAATCGTTTAATTTAAGAGCTCAATGCATATTTCTAATGCTTTAATTGAACTTAATTGATAGCCAACAGACACAACTTTATTACTGTTAAATTTTCTTTTCATGGCTGAGGAAAGTCATTTCAATCAAATTACAGTCTATAAATTTAAATCGCCTCGGATCACTACCAGGTGAAGAATGGTAAAAGGAGATCCATCGAATTTAAAGTAAATGGATCAGATCACTTGCATTGATAAATTTTTATTGAAATCCGAAATACACAAAAAAGATAGTCTGTAGTCACGTGAGCTTTGCAGTGGAGTATGTAATGACTAAGGGTCTAGATTTACATGGAGAATATATATCACCCCGGACTGATTTTAAATTCAATGGAACACATGTGATTTTAGCAATTTTCTGATAAACAATGCTTATAGAATTTCGCCATTCTATGGGAGATATTGATTTGGAGGAGAAAAATTGTTATATTTGAAGAGATATTGATCGAATTGATTTAAAAGTAAATTTTGAAATGCATTCATCGTGTTCCATCGTCCTAGATCATTGATCAAACAGGAGGTTTTAAAATGTGCTGGACTTTTTCAAACAGTTTCAAACAGAGAGATTAGTACATGAAGATATAATGGCTGACAAGAGCTTACGATATGGATAAATTGTCAAAATTGATTTTACTGTGCATATAGGGATATCGACAGAGTTTCTGGATTTTTATTTTGTCTTTCAATGTTTGTGACATAGGCAATCATTCCACATCTGATCAGAACAATGTGTTTGTAGTGTGTCTGGTATTGATAACCATATATTAACCAAATGCCTCATTTACAGCTAGAACTGATTCTTGAACTTCCTGACAATTTAGAAGTAAGTAAGCACGGTGACTGCGGTCACAACAACCTACATTGGTTGTGTCTTGCGATATGATGTATTCAAGGTTGTGCTGAATAATTGGCGGTTTGTTTGGAAATTTTGCTTTAGGAATTATAACATTTACAATGCATCTGGATGAGTGGAAAAGAAGCAAATGTGTGGCTTCGTTTTATCATTTATCATATTTTAAAAGAGATTTGATGAACGGGTCTAATGTTTTAATTGATTGTTTAATGATATATCTGTTCATTGTGGTAAAAAACGAAGATATGTCACTTAACATGGCTTGCAACATTAACACAATATGTGCATGGCTAGATAATGTGAAAGAATGATTCTTGATTAGCTTTGCAAAATATATTATAAATATTATTTTTGCATTTATTCATTTTTTGCTTTATATATTTGTAATATTCTTAGCTAATGTTGTATCATCGCTAAAAAAATATATTAATGAAAATCAGATATACATTTACTGTTTGTAAATGATAATTATATTTTTTTCCCCTCCAATTACATGTTAATATTATTATGATGTCTCTAAAACATATTTTGATCTTGCATTGATTGATATTTTGTATATCTTAGGATCTCCAGAATGCGTTTGAAGATGCACTGGAACGATATAATAGTATCCACGGGTAAGAAAGTGGTTGTAATGATTGATATTAAATAATCTCTAACACCTTTCTATATCTCAATCAAAATACACTGTTAAATTGTTTTTCGTTCTATTTCAGAGTGTCAGCTACGGATAAGAATAAATTGTACAGAAATGATGGCAACCATTTTGAGGAGAATTGGCAGGAGCGGGAAATAGAGAGGTAAAAATAGAATCAGAGATTATCCTAATCTCCAGAAATTATCCCTATCTCCAGAAATTATCCCTATCTCCAGAGATTATCTTTATCTCCAAAGGTGTTATGTTTTTCTTTGAGAAAAACACACTTTCAATCTGGCAAGCTTGTATACTCATAAAGTCAAGGCCTCTCAAATTAATTCACTGATGTCATGAACATCAAATTATTAAATTCCAATGAACAGGATTTTATATCGGTATTGCTGAGTTTGTTAAACTTGGGTTTGAATAATGTATACTTTGGTTTCCAAAACAGAGTAGAAAGACTTGAAACTTTTTTAGCTTAATTATGGCAATTTTAAAGGGACCTGTGTCTTTGAGGATCCATTTGATGGTATTGACAATTTAAATGTTTAAACATTTACATTTATTCTAATGTTGTATCACATTCTTTAAAAATTTCTTTGGATTCCTCGGTTTCAATAGTATACTAGAAGATAAGTAAAACCCTTGATTAGGTCTCTGGTGTTTTGTGGTACAATCTGACATCATGTATCCTGCCTTTAAGCGACTACAAGAGATTTTTTGTACAAGAACAAAAGAAGCTCGAACATGAAGTCAAATCAGTCTTCATCTCTGTTAAAGTTTTCTTGTTTCCTACTATTTTGATATTTCTTAAATCGAAGGATTTTATTCTAAAACCAGTGAAAGACGTGACACGTTCAATGCAGATCTGGATGTTGTATTTTTGGGTCTTTATTGAAACCTTTTTTCTTGACAACTTAACTATCCAGGTTGACTTTGCGTCGATAGAAGGAGATAGAAATCTTTTAGAGGATTAATTGTGCAGAAGATTTTACGGGGGAAAAATCAATGAAATTTGGTTTTTGTGCTATTAACTTCCAATGCCCAACAAAACGGATGGCATGGCTGTATGTGGTTAGAGATTCTGTTAAAATATGAAGACGTTTTTGCAAGTCTTAACATATTTCACATTTACTGTAAATTACAGAAAATATGTGTATCTTTCAATATCTTTTAAGCATTAAATTACTTTAGATAGAATTTATTTTACATATTGGCATGAACAGAAAGCAAAGCCTTTGAAAGGTTTTGATTTATCTAAAGTATTACATCAGTTGGAAATCTAACTGTAACTTACATCTGTAACTCAGAAGTGCAATTGTAGTACAATACATGAAACAGTTAAACTACTTAAACAAAACCTGCACCGCCAAAGAATTAATAAGCATATATACATATACTTTACGTAAAAGAATTCTCTGTAAGTATTTTATGTGTATCTATATCTGTTTATATAATGTGGGGTTTTTTTTTTGGTATTTTTAACAGACACATGTTGCTAAGAATGCAGAAGGCATTGCGGTCAAAGAGTGCAGCCCAGAAGAGACAGGTCTGGGAGGAACAACTGGAGGAAAAGAGACAAAAGCTTCAACAGAGAGATATAGATACACAGTCAGGTAAAAATCATATAAAGCTTCATCAGAGAGATATAGATACACAGTCAGGTATAAGCCATATAAATTAAGCTTCAACAGAGGAATATAGATACACAGTCAGGTAAAAACCATCTTAACCCTTAACAGAGATATAGATACACAGTCAGGTAAAAGTCATCTAAAGCTTCAACAGAGAAATATAGATACACAGTGATGTAAAAGTCATCCTCTTACCCATTAATCTTTTTTGATGAAACTCGGTGACATGCAAATAATTGAACCAAAGACGTTTATGGTGCATTCTGCCTAATTCATTAATTTCACTCCATTAGCTCTTGTTTTATTTTACTGCTATGGTATAAAATATACACGTATCTTTTTTGCAGCCATAGGATTTTCTACACGTTCCGAAACCTCTTTCTTTGCACTGACGCAGGTAGAAAGAGCAAACACCTCGATGTCCTATATGCCTCATCTAAATACAGCAAAACCCACCGTCCAGGTCCCCAAGCGACCCAAGACAGCAGCAGCAAATCTTCAAAAACAACAGACTGACAAAACAGCTCTTAAAGTGGAGAAACCTTTCAGGTATCATAAGCCACATCATAAAAATCCTTACAGACACATAGCGGGTAAATGTTCTACCAATCCTCTTTCTTTACTCCTCACTAAAATATTAACAGCAGTGAAGGAGAAACTTCACTGTCCAACAATATATTCAAGAAGTGGTGTAAATCAGATGTGGATACTTTAAAATTCCTAGGAACTTTTGGAAAATTTGAAGTCTAAAAATTTTACTAAAATCAGTAACATAAAATCTTACGACTTTTTAACTCTATATACAGTCATTCCTCACGATGAATTAAAGTTCAGGCTTTTTGACATCATTGACAGCTGCTTTTTCAATAAGGGTGGAACTCGTAAATTTACTTACCTTGTCTTTGGTCATTTGCAAAATTATTTTGATAAACATTCTGATTGTACACACAAGTACTTTGAAGTTGATATTAAAAAGATGCTTGAGTTTCTGATCGACAATATATATGTGCTTTTGGGAGACTAGGTCATCCAACAACCTGTTGTAAATCCCATGGGTACTAATTGCGCCCCGTTGTTAGCAGACCTATTTTTGTATTCATATGAAGCAGAATTTATTCAAAATCTTATACATGAGAAAAAGAAATCTCTTGCTGTGGCCTTCAACTCGACATTTAGATATATCGACGACGTATTGTCAATTAACAATGGTTCTTTCCATTCATATCTCGACAAGGAATATCCCAGTGAGCTTGAAATAAAAGATACCACAGAGTCTGACACGCCTGTTTCATATTTGAATATTTTACAAGAAAAAGGCGTAAATGGTAATCTAACACCAAAGCTTTATGCAGATCTTAGTACTAGCCCTCTGTTCTTAGTAAAGTCTAGATGCATATAATATGTTTTTGTGTTTAGCATGAGATTTTAATCGCATGTTAAAGTTTAAAGTTATGTATTTTAGGCGAAGTTGCAGATAAGTTTCAAGAAATATTGACCGAAAATAAACAAACATTTCCTACAATTTTAGATTTTTTTCACGAAACATATTTTACAGTAAAATTTAGATGTAACAGTACATTGTTTATGTAATTTTTAGTACACATGTAGTCACGTATAATTTAACTGATTACAAGTTTAAATTGCAGTTTTTATGTCAAAGGGTAGATCAGGGCAAAGGGGGGATCCAACTTATTTTTAAAAAACATATTCATACCAATTGTTATGCCATTATTTACACACTGAATTGTATTCCGTTTGCCTGATCATGACAAAGAGCACTCGGCGGTTGTGACCGGTCGACAGGGGATGTTCACTCCTCCATGGCACCTGATCCCATCTCTGATGTTTTTGGCGGTCAGTGTTTGCTCTGCTCCTGATTTGTATTGTTTTGATGATGGACTTTGTGATTGAATACTGTTTGTTATCTCCATATGTCATGATAAACGTGATGACTTAAACTTTTCAATCGTCAGCTTCCCTTACTTATGCAGCAATTTACCCTTATCACCTGAATATGGGGTGTATATCTCTCAGTTGATTCGATACGCAAGAGCATGCTCTATGTATGAATATTTTCTTAAACGAGATAAGTTATTGACAAGCAAGTTGATGAAACAAGAATATTAACAGTCTCGTTTAAAGTCATCATTTCGTAGTTCTATGGTCGATACAATGACCTTGTCAGCAAATACAATCTATCATTGAGTCATGTGCTGACTGACGTTTTTCATACTAATTGTTAGGCCCTTATTTACACACTGCCTTGTCGATGGATTTTTCCGTTATTTCCAGATCATGACAAGGAGCACACGGCGGGTGTGACCGGTCGGCATGGGATGCTCACTCCTCCATGACATCTGATCCCACCTCTGATGTTTTTGGAGGTCTGCTCTGCTCCCAATTTGTATTGTTTTAATGGATTTTGAGCTTTTATACTCTTTGTTATCTCCATATTTCATTCAATAACTTTGCACTCAAGTAGACTATGTATTTGTACTTCTATTTATCGAATTTTGATTTCAATGAACAGTGTTGCCATGGATACTAAAAAATAGAATTTTTTTTCAATGTATCAAAATATTATTCCTCCAACGGTTTTGGGTCGATATCTACAAGGCTTGGGGCACAAGTAGACTGTACTAAGACACATAATTCTGTTTATCGATTTCTGATTTCAACGAACAGTGTTGCAATGGTTACTAAAAATTGATATCTCTCTGAAATTCATTCAAAATGCTACTCCTTCAACAGTTTTAGTCAATAGTCAATTTAGTCAATTTCACTTGGTACATAAGTAGACTATATTAAGATGTATAAATCTATTTATCAGTTTTTGATTACAACAAACGGTGTAGCTATGGTTACAAAAATAGAAATTTTCCTTCTCCATTTTTGGTTTCAATAAGACTTGGTACACAAGTACACTAGACCAAGAAGTCTAGACTAAGATACATAATTTGTTTATAGGTTTTTTAATATTTACGACCGATGATGTCATGGCTACTAAAATTAGAAATTTCTTCGAAATTTATTGAAATGTCACTCCAACAGTTTTGGTCCGATTTAAATAAGATTTAGGATACAAGTAACCTATAGTATGATACATTGTTCTGAATATTGGTTTTTAATGTTGACAAATCATGTAGCCATGGTTACTAAAAATAAGAATTCTTTGAAATTCTTTCAAATCGCTTCTCCTGTTACAATTTTGGTCTGATTTCACTAAGACTTCGTGTACAAGTAGACTACACAAAGATACATCTTTCTTCATGATAACTACACACAAGTAGAGCTACAGTCTCGACAGAGACTTCTGGTTGAAATATGATTCCATCGTATACTTATCTAAGCTCTTAGTTATTTCATATTTTTTGTTTTACATTGTCAGAGAAAATGTTGGAGACGCTTAAGATTTTAAAATTTGCTGTTAATTATTCTATACCATTTAATATCTAATAGAACATGTCAAATAGAATAAAAAAGTTTTATTTATTTATTTGTTTTGTTTTTTTAATTTAATTTTATAATTTTTTTTTTTTTTGGATAATTTTCCTGATCATATAAAAAATACCATTTTTGATATTTTTAGATCTTTGTCATTTATAGAAAAGAAATATCAGACAGTCATTTTAAAAAAGGAAATTGAAATTAAATTAAATTAAATTGAAAAATTATATTAAATTAAATTAAATTGAAAAATTATAGGGAAAAAATGCTACTTTTTTTTAGCCAATCCTGATTTGTCAAACTCTTCACATGTTTATTAGATATTTCTATAAAAAAAAAAATTACTTAAAAGTAAATTTTACCTATACCGTATATAATTTGTAATAATTTTTTTTTGTCTCTTAATTTTTTTTTTAAATTCACATAAAATAATTAAAATCAAATAAATGCCTTTTTCATTTATTTAAATGATGGATACTTGTTTGAAAAACGTTACTTCAAAGACCTACTGGATTTAATGTTTAGTAGTTTTCCTCTGTAAGTTATTTCTTTTGAGTTTTTATCTCTGATTAAAGATACAGGTAAACTATGGGTTTTTAAAGTTTATGTAAGATAATTTAAGCTAAAAGACCTGATGAGTAATGGTGCTTCTGTCACAATTTCGTATAAGACCATATTTCTATTTATACGGGAAAAATCTTTTGCATCATATGTAGTGATTGCGAAATTCATTGGTATGTCATCCACGTAATATCATTATCAATGCAGACTACATTACATTAAGCATTTATATAACCATATCTGAATCATGTCTAAAAAAAATAATTATACAATCAGAATGTATATTTCAGATACAAGATACGACAAGGTGGAACAGACACACCGCTATCTAGACCTCCTAGTCGCCAAACATCAGAGCCTAGTCTATCTCCACGCATGATTGACCCTAGAAACCCAAATTCTCTTAGACCTCCTTCAACGAAATCTATTCCCAGCAAGTGCACGTATGTTGTAACTTTCACTGCAACTAATATACCTTCATCATCTAAGATTGCATTAGAAATGTTTACGTCGTGAATACTAGTAAATGGAAATATGTATAAACAAAGTAAAACGTTTTGATAAGAATCGATGATGTTTGATGCAGTCACCTATTAGTGATCAGCATGTTATGTTTACAAGCAAAAATAATTTTCTAACAGAATCAAAGAAAGAAAACGAACATAGAAATATATTTTAAAAGTAATGTTAACCTATTTAAAATCGTTTACTTTTGTTTACTTTCCAGACGGTACATTCTTGTAAGTAAACAGAAACAGAAGCGTGCTATGCCACTTCCTACACCTTTAGAGGAGCAGTTACTAGCTGAGAGATTTCCCATGATGGGAGAAAAAATGTATCGTCAACACTCCGACCTGGTACTGAAGTCCCGCAAACCTACATACTGTGTGGAGTATACACCATTTGTGAATCAATGGGCCTAGTTTGTGATCTCAAAAGTTTCCTGGAAGCAATATTAATACTGTTAATATTTGTGTGGCATGTAGTTAAGAATCTTTCCATGCATGGTTATGGTGAAATCTTTAGGACAAAATGTTCATGCAGTGTACCTCCGTAGTATTCTTGTTTCTGTTTGTTGCACAAAAATGTTATATTGATATTAACTTTGTGATTTGTTGTTTTGAAAAAAAAAAAGTGAAATGTCTTTGTTCAAGAAATGGATAAATCATAAAAGAATTTTAAATTGAACTGAAAAAATAATCATATTTATCACATCTTTCGAAGTGCAAATCTCTTCTTTATTTAATAATTAAACATCCTAATTTTGCGTTGTTTTTTATGGTTTTGCAAAATGGTTTACAATTATTTCGTCCTACGCATGCTGACATGTATCTGCTTTGTCAATCATGACATTTAAATAATATATTAATTGAAATATTTTTATACGAAGTGTTAATGTTTTCAGTATCAAAATGTCATTTAATTTCATTTTGAAACAAAGATAATCATTAAAATGGATTCCTGTGATGTTCTTTATCTGTGATATTTGAGAGAAATGACTAAGTAAGAGAGGTCCAAGGTTGTCCCTTTTATTTTTGTACTTTTGACTTTACTGCCATATGTATATGTATTTATGAGGCTTTTGTTCAGAACAGTTTACTTTATTTACATTCTTAAATAAATACTGGCTTTAATTGTTTTGTGTCTTTTTGTCATCGAAAGAATTTTAATGTGACATATCTGCAATTTTGCCTTTTTTTACAAATGAAAACACTTCATTTTACATTTTTCTTCCTTCTTCCTTTTTTTAAAAGTCATTGTAATTCAATTTAAGTAAATTAACAACATTTTTCCTCATTCCGCCATATTTCAAGTTGAAGTCTACACCTTGTATTTCTTAAGTATATTCATGGACGATTGCTTCCAAACTTTTTACTAAAAAAACTCTACAGTGGATATCGAAGATTTGAAACATAATCCTCCTACATGTATGATAACACTGTTCTTCTGTCTACAACTTAAATCCTGCTGGATGCGTCATTCCCGGTAACGTAAATATAGTTAGTAATGAGAACCTTAAATCACTTATTTTAAAAGGGCCAAAATTTAGGGAACCCCGATCTTTCAACTGGCGTCAAAATTTCATAAATATTAATTTATGTCAAGGATTATGCAAGGCGATGAGTCAAATATGAAGGAGAAGATATGGATTAAAAGTATAAGATGGATGTTGAAATCGCGTTAAACAGTTGAGGGGCAATATGAAAACAATATATCAATCTGTCTTCAATAATTCAGAAGTGAAAAAAAATTCCAGGGATTACATGATCAATATGCACTGGTCCCAGCTGAAAAACAGGTTATAACATTTTTTGTAAGGTTCAGTCATCGTTATATTTGTATGATAGAGGAACGTTAATTCTACCAGTGGTAATCCAATTTATACTCATTTTCCTTCTAATGAGCAAATTCTTCAAAATTACGTCAATTTATTATTTTTTTTATATTCCCGACAACCAAAGTGAATTTGCTTCCTAAACTACATAACAATACTTACAATAGACACATAGCAGGTTCTAGTAAAGGTTCTACCAAGTCTCTTTTTTTACTCCTATAACAAGTAAGGAGAAAATGTATAGCTGGACCGGGAATCAAATTTTGGACTCCTGCTTCATTAGTCAGGCGCTCTACCAACTGAGCCACCCAGGCCGATATCCACAGCATAAAGCATTACATTCCTCCCTCCTTTGGCTTTGCCCTTGAAGACGTCACCCAACAGTTTCTATCCCTGACAGAACTTTCACCTGGAGGGGTGGTCAACCTCACCATATTACGTAGCAAGGAAGGAGAAATGTTAGACTGGACCGGGAATCGAACCTGGTACCCCTGAATCAATATAGTCAGGCGCTCTACCAGCTAAGCTATCCAGGCCGATATCCTCGGCCTAAACCATTACATTCCTTACAAAAATACTGACAGCAAAAACTTAAACAACATATTCGAGAAGTGGTGTTAATCAGATGTGGATTCTTAAAATTTCCGAGAAACTTTTAGAAAAAATTTGAAAACACAATACAAAATCAATAGCACCAAAACTTACGATTTTTCAATACTGTATATACAACCATACCCCGAGATAAATTAAAGACCAGGCTTTTTTTGACATCATAGACAACTACCTTTCAATAAAAATGGAACTCGTAAATTTACATACCTTGTCATTGGTCAATTTTTCTATCGTCAACTTCCCTTATTTATGTACCAATATACCATTCTCACCTGTGCTACATATGAAGTTTATACGTTTTCCAGTTGATTCGTTACACAAGAGCAGTTTCTGGGTATGAACAATTTCTAAAACGAGGCAAGCTATTGACAAATAAGTTGATGATCCAAGGATATCAGCATTCTCGTTTGAAGTCAACATTTCGCAAATTCTATGGTCGATACAATGATTTTTTTTTTTTTTTAGCAAATACAATCTGTCGTTAAATCGAATGTTTGCTGATGTTTTTCATACAAAATGTTGAGTCATTATTTTCACACTGAATTGTCTACGAATTTTTTCGGTTACCCGATCATGACAAGGAGCACGCGGCGGATGTTATATAGCAGAGTTGATAATTGCATGTTTTTTCTGGAAGTTTATCCCTGACTTACTGAATTATGATCCATTTCTTTCTCAAAAAAGATAAAATTCCTGCATGTTTCATTACACATTTTTTAATTTTAAGGTAGGTCAAAAGTTAAAGGTTGCCGTCCTGGTGTATCCTGTTTATGGTCACATACTTCTTGGCTGGTGGTTATATGGTTCTGCAGGCTTGTCTCTAGACTTCTGAATTTTTTGGGCATTTTGAATGTCGTTAATTTATAAACAATTTGATTAATCATAATGGTTTGGGATGTGCATGATGTACCTTCCTTCCATACAGGCCGTTTTGGTACGTGGTTGGTAAGTTACTAATGTCAAGGAGTGAATTTATGTATTTTACTTTTACTTTGATGTTTCAGCATCTGTGTTATATTTATCAATTTGACATCTCTCCCCCTCCTGTCTCACGGTATGGATGACAGTATTGTAAGTTTTACTTTCAGCGTAGAGATGAAAGGTTAAACATTTCCTGTCTTGAGAATTCTGCCTAAACCTTCTTTTGATGTTACAATTTCAGTTTTATTCCATTTCATTGGTTATCTTTAGAAATGTGGGAGGAGTTTGGGGGAAAAAGATGAGATATGTGTGTATGTTAGTTTTGAGTTATAGAGTAGAGTTTTAGCGAGTTGAATGTAACTTTTTGGAAATTCATGAAAAGTGAGGCTGTTGGACTCAATATCCCGTTACTTAGGACTGCTGACTCGGCCTGGGGCACAGATGCGGCTTATGTTTTCAATCTCCGATTTCTTGGGTTCGCTGATTCGGTTGGCTCGGCCTGGGGCACACTGGGGACAATTGATGGTCTCAATTTTCTGTTGCTTTTGTCTGCTGACTTGGCCTGGGGCACAGATAAGGTTGATGGTCTCAATCTCCCGAGTTGCTGTGGTCCGCTGACTCGGCTTGGGGCACAGGTAAGGCTGTTGAACTCAATCTCCGGTTGCTTTTCTCTGCTGGCTCCCCCGACTCCGCCTTAATAACTGAGCACAGCTCAAGGTGATACTGATAGTCTCAATCTCTTGTTGTCTCGGTCCGCTAACTCAGCCTGAGGCTGTTGGACTCAATATCCCGTTACTTGTGTCTGCTGATTCAGCCGACACGGTTTGAGGCACAGGTGAGACTGATGGTCTCAATCTGCTTTGGTCCGCTGTCAGCTGACTCGGTCGACTTGGTCTGGGGCACAGGTAATGCTGTTGAACTTAATCTTCCGTTGCTTAGGTCCGCTGATTCGGCCTGGGGCACAGGTGAGGCTGATTGACTTCTAGACCAACTGCTGTCTGTCCCTGTTGAATTAGGGTAACTTTCCTCCAGTTCATCTGTGATCTGTGACAGATGACAATCTTCACAGTACTATCACCGTGTGAAATGTACCCCAAGGACATAACACCTCCCCTGGCATGCCCTTGAGTGACTTTTAACTGGAAAAATAAAATGACATTTTTTTTTATTTAATTAAGCCGTTAATTGATATCTATTTGTATTTTTCTCCCTTCCATTAATTCTATTGTTAAAATATTCCTTTGTATCTTGATATCAATTGTCATATTAGAATATTTGGCAGTTGGAGAGCGACAGTCAAGGCGCTCGGACCACCGACTCCCGACCTTGCTGATTTTGTTATAAGTTTTCGGAGTTTTAATATTAAATTTGTAAAACGGAAACCGACTTATGCAATTTCTCTCGGTCACAATTGGTGAGAGAATCCGGTGTATCATCTTTTTAGCTTGATACGCGATCCTGTAAGGTATCTTAGAGCTAATTTTCCCCCAAAATGGATTCGTACCAGTACTCGTTTGTCCAGCATGGGACACACCATACCATGCATACCGTATGAGATACTTTGTACTTAACGAGAATCCGATTTGTAGAAGATGCGGACTTATACACACATGGTTTTGTTGTGCTGCCAGGATTTTCAAGTGCTTTAACTGCGGTAGGAATGGACATTTTGCGCGGATGTGTAGGACACAGAAGTCTTACCGCCGAAGTGACGTTCTGACTATTAAAGTTACAGGGAAGATTGACAGTTCAACTCAAACAGAAAGAACGAAATCGAACAGAAAAATTCAACGCGACGGAGAAAGGAGAAAGAAATTTAAAGAAAAGCGTTTAATACTTGCAAGTCTTCCCTTTTCAAAAATCAAGGACTCGGTCTTTAAAGAGGAGCTCTTTCAGAATCAAATAGAGGCTGCGCACCACAGAATAAATGTTTTACGTGAAGAGGCTGACCACCAAACTGCACGAGCGGCATTTTTCGAGAGGCGCCATCTGATGTTATTAGCAGAGCTGAAAGAACATGACAAATTGGTAGCTATACTGGAAGAGGAATTGAAACAAATGTCTCAAATAATTCAAAACAAAGAAAAGAAACTACAGACAAATGCTACAAAGTCTCGCGGAATAGATAGACAACCTTCAAAGCACACAATTGACGTGACACGATATACAAGTGACAGACATGTGGAATTTGCCAGATACAATGACAGTGTTAACCCAGGTTCCAGGACTTACGCAGAGGGAACTAGTGCAAGGCCCCAAAGATGTATGTAACCTTGGAACACGAGGACGTGTTCAATTGGAGGAAGAGGCAACTATCACCGTGTGAAATGTACCCCAAGGACATAACACCTTCTCCCCTGGCATGCCCTTGAGTGACTTTTATCTGGACAATTAAAATGACATTTTATTTATTTAATTAAGCCGTTAATTGATATCTATTTGTATTTTTCTCCCTTCCATTAATTCTATTGTTAAAATATTCCTTCGTATCTTTATCATGTAAGAATATTTGGTAGTTGGAGAGCGACAGTCAAGACGCTCGGACCTCCGACTCCCGACCTTGCTGATTTTGTTACAAGTTTTCGGAGCTTTGAGAAATTTGTAAAACGGAAACCGACTTATGCAATTTCTCTCGGTCACAGTACTATCAATATTACGTCTAATTTACAACATTTAATACTAACAGAGAAATTTATAATATGCAAACACTTAAGTCGGGTATCCCCTAGAACCCAAACTTCGTCATCATAAGCGGAAAAAACGC